TCATTCATAGAATCATTAAGGTTGGAAGAGACCTTTAAGATCATCAAGTACAACAACCAACCTAACACCACCACATCTACCCAACCATGTCCCGAAGTGCCATATCCAAATGCTTCTTGAACACCTACATGTATGCTGACTCCACCACCTCCCTGGACAGCCTGTTCCAGTGCCTGACTACTCTTTCAGTAAAGAAATTTTTCCTAATATCCAATCTAAACTTCCTCTGGTGCAACTTGAAGCCTTTTCCTCTTGTCCCGTCACTAGTTACGTGGAAGAAGAGACCAACACCCACTTCTCTTTCAGGTAGTTGCAGAGACTGCTGAAGTCTCACATCAGTCTCCTCTTCTCTAAACTAAGCAAACCCAGCTCCCTCAGCTGCTCCTCATAAGGCTTGTTCTCCAGACCCTTCACCAGCTTTGTTGCTCTTCTCTGGACATGTGCCTCAATATCCTTCTTATATTGAGGGGCCCAAAACTGAGCACAGTACTCAAGGCACGGCCTTACCAGTGCCAAGTACAGTGGGACAGTCACTTCCCTACTCTTGGCCACACTGTTTCTGACACAAGCCAGGATCCACTGGCCGCCTTGGCCACGAAGGCACACTGCTGGCTCATGTTCAGTCGGCTGTCAACCATTACCCCCAGGTCCTTTTCTATCTGACAGCTTTCCAGTCACTCTTCCCCCCAGGCAAGTAACACTGCATGGGGTTATTGTGACCAAAGTGCAGGACCCGGCACTCAGCCTTGTTGAACCTCATGCTATTGATCTCAGCCCATTGATCCAGCCTGTCCAAGTCCCTCTGCAGACCCTTCCTAACTTCGAGCAGATCAACACTGCCACCCAACTTCGTGTCATCTGCAAACTCACTGTATTTTAAAAAGTATAGATGGGAAATGTTCTTAAATAATTTTTATCAGTTTCTAATTAATTGTAAAAAAGACACCATGCCTTCTTATCTTTCTGATTCATTGTTTCAAATATGCATCTGTAAGTATTTGAGCCTTCAAGGCACTACAGACTCCCTTGTTGTATTGAAAGCCTGAAAATTTTGTACAGATGAGAAGCCAAAACAGTGTTTCAAAAATTTATTCCAGAAGCCCCCATATAACATTTCCTAGAAGTTGGTAAAAGAAAACAATTACAAAAAGATGGTTAGGAAAAGCTGCAATTTCATTTATAAGTTATAAAATTGTGTATTATCTACTGTCCCTCCTTCCATAGTAAAATATTATTGTTTTAATTACAGTCTCTCTTAAGAAGCTGCATCATTGCATATTATTTTGGTATTGTATATTCTTTGTTCCCTTCCCCCTTTTTTTTTTCTCTTTCCATTCCTTAGCATCTTGTAGTGCCTTTTTAATCAGATTGAAAAGCAACCTTATTATGGAATAACTCTTCTAAGTTATAAGGCTCAGGTATCAAAAGATCTTCTTAATCTTTTCCTTAATAAGGCATCAGCATTGTTCTAACTAAAGCCTTATATCATGAAGGTCTGTGCATTTTTGAATGATCCTCTAGCAAATTCTTCCTGATATTTTTAATAAGATGAAACTTTTGTCATCATCTAGAACTTGGTACATTAGTCACCTGTGCTGTTCAGGGAATTCTCAAGAAAAATAAGCCTGCCTTATGTACAAGCATTTAACTTAAGAAAAAGACAAGACCTTGAAGGTTTAGAAAGAGGTGTTACTGACAGAGTTTTACAAGAAGAAAGAACCCTTCACTGTCACTTGTCAATTGTACTCCTGTACAGAATATGCAACCCTATCTGTTCTTTGATACTGCAGCGCTGTGCCTTCGGGTGTTCCTCGTCAGTCCTGTGCTGAGTGTCTAGGGTTAGAGATGCCAGCCTGTTCCTTCTGTACTGTATCGAAGGCCCTGGTTTCACAGTAACAACTTCTTCTTGTCACTGTGTTTGCTTTTTGCCTTATTGTATCATTCAGCTTTTTATCTCATGGTTTTTTTATTCTCATGCCTTCATTGCAGAACATGGAATCTTTCATTCTGAAATACATCTTTGTACTACGTTCTGAGTCTGGAATCTGAACAAACCTTCCCATTCTGTATTCCTATTTTTCCTACGTGTTTCAGTCATTTACATTGCTTCCCAGTGTGTGTTTGTCTCATGCCCTGAGTAATTAAGATGTTTAATTCATTAATGTGCCAATAAAATTGTTAGTGACTTTGAACTGGCACAACTTCTTTTTGAAATATTGTTATGGTTTAAGGGTTAACAGCCTGAAAGGGAAGGACAGGTAGTGTCTGTAGGATCCTAGTGGGTCAGAGATCAGTACTGTTCCCTACCCTTTCCGGCCACAGTCTATAAAACAACTGAGGAGGCCTGAGGTTTTTCGCGGGCTTTTCCTGGTTTCCTGGGCTGCTTCCTGATGCACCTCGGACAGCTGGGGCTACCTCCACGTGCTGAGCAGCATCCACCACCATCCGCTCCCGGCACCACTGCGGTCCCTGGTGATGAGTCACAGCAGTCGCAGCGGCCACAAGGCACTGCTCAGACACTTCCACTCGGGACTACTGGGATCAGGTTTTGTATATAGTAAAATATCCTTTGTCCCTTATGAATTCCCTTTTCCTTTCCCCTGTTGTTTTTTTTTCATTAAACTTGTTACAGTCTTAACTTCCAACCTTGTGTGAAGCATCTTTCTTTTTTCTCTATTCCCTTTTTTTAAATCCTCCCCTGGGAGGGTAGGGGACAATAGAGAGAAAATCCTGCTCTCTGAGCCTTAAACGGAGACAAATATTCTTAGCAAACTGAAGATCAATAGCTCTGTAATTTCCACAGCTGGAAAGAAATCAGCATTATAGAAACAAAAGAAGGCTAACTTTTAAAATGTCTTTCTTCTGTACTTTAATATGTTTGAGAATTTCTTTAATATTTGGGGAGGTATTAGGTTTAAGTATCCCTGATAGTTGGTCTCAATTTCATCTAAATTAGTCAGCGGTATTGTGGTATATTTGTAAAGGATTTTTTTTTTTTAATCTTCTCTTTTTTTCCCCTCCACCTCCCTTTCATTTGTCTGAAAAACAAAAGCATGTTAGCTACAAGGAATGATTGAGGAATTACTGAATAAATGGCAAAAAGATGTTAGTGAAATAACTTACCTATTTCCTTATAAATGTATTTTCACTTATTGGTGATAAAATTACCATTGCAATGCCTATCAAGTGTGATAGTTTTAATGTGAATTTATATTAGGCTTCTTTTGACTTTCAGGAACTATTTTCAGTAAGGATTTGCCAATAAAATGAAATGGGTTCCATATTTCTATCTATTTTATAAGGAGTTGAGTTTTCTGGCAAATGTGGGATTTTGTAATTGAAAGAAATGCATTCTATTTTGAAGGAAATTAGCTTGACATTGAGTTTAGATATATTTATCAGTATTGCAGTGAGAAAATATGCTGTATATTGCCTCAAAGGAAAAAAAACAGTCAGTGTTCAAAACAGAACCAAGTTTTCTGAAAATTCTCATTACAGCTGGAATGCAATAGTTCTCTTAATATAAGTGAATCAGATCTGGAAAGCAATAATTTCTGATAACTACAATCTTATCTTTTCTGTGAGCTTGTTTTTCTAAGGGTTTTGGTTTGATTTTTGGTAGTGGGGCTGGACTATGGAGATAACCCTATAAGAAGCTACTAGAAAGCTCCCCCGGCTCCAATGTCAGACCCACCTCTGACCAGGGCCAAGCCAATCAGCACCGCTGTAAATTTATGTATTTAAGGGCAGTGCAGCACACATTTTCTCTCTCTTGCACTGGCCCCGGGTGTGGGCAGCACGTCCCCAGGAGTGGGCAGCACGTCCCCAGTCCCCACTGTGCCCAGTACCAAAATAAACTCAAGCCCTCATGCAGCTCTAGCCTGAAAGAGAGAGAACCAGGAGCTCTTCAGAACTATCAGAAAGGACCAGCAATGGAGAAAGCACAGGAACATGAGGAGAGCAGCTAGGTCCATGAAGGAAGGAGAGAGGGGAAGAGGAGGTGTGCAGAGACGAAGATCCCCATGCAACCCATGGTGAGAGCACAGGTCAACCTGCCTAGAGCCTGTGGAGGTTCACCGGTGGGGCAGATTCACATGAGCAGCCCCTGAAAAAGCTGTGACTCCATGGGCGGTGTGTACTGGAGCAGTTCATGTGTGAGGGAACTGCTACCATGGGCAGACCCAGACTGGAGCTTTGTGGGCTTGAGCTGAAGCAGTTTGTGCGTGACAGAAACTGCAAATGTGGGCAGATCTGCATTTGGACTTTTGTGGCAGACTTATGTCCTGGGGGAAGGATGACACACGGAAGCAAAGGGAGGCTGGGAGGAGTACTCCCTACCCCTGAAGATTAAGAAGCAGCAGAGATTGCATGGGACGAACTGACTATAACCCCCACTCTCATCCTCCTTGCACCGCTGGGCAAAGGCAGTGAGGTGAAGAAACCAGGAACAAAGCTGAGCCGGGGAAGAAGGGAAGGGTGAAGGGAAGGTGTTCGACTTTAAGATCTGGTTGAATCTCTCACTGTTCTACTCTGATGTTATTGGTAACAAAATTGTTTGGTTTTTTTTTCTCCCTATGAGTCTGTCTTTAGTCTGTGACCATTAAGTGGTGAGGAAAGAACTCCCAGTCCTTATATTGTCTAGCCCCCTTTTGTGGGCATTGTGGTGTTCAGTTGCCCACTGGGCCTAAACCACGACACAAATTTTCTTTGGCAAGCAGATTTTGTATAAGGAACTTGCAGCTTGTTTCACACATTTTGAAAATTGGCAGCTATGTTCTTTGCAAGTCATTTTGGGAACTAAACTTTAAAGTAGATCATAAATGTTAGCCTTGTAGTAAGTAAGTTGATCTGTTGAAAACTTTTCCTATTTTGGCATGCAACTTGGATATTTATTTGTTTTGTTTTGTTAGGTTATCATCAGTTGCTGATAACAATTTTATTTATCTGAATTAAAAACAAGTTTTGTAACTGTTATATGTTTATTTTGGATTCTTTTCCAGTCAAGCCATGCCGTTGTAACAGAGAGGCAGACCTATAAGAAACGATCCAATTTCTTAAGTAATGATGACTATGCTGTGTATGTGAGGGAAAATACTCAGGTAAGGACGATGATTAAATGCTAAAGTGAAACTGCTTTCCTTCTTGTACAAAAGACTTTGCATAGCTATGGTGTTTTATTGTCCTTTTTTCCCTAAGTGGGTATGATGGTTAGGTGCTGCAGGACCTATGAAGGTTTGTGAAGAAGATGTAGGCAAAGAAATTAAACTGGAAAGGAAGAAAAATGAAGCAAAAAAATCTGTCATTACTGAGTTTTCTTGACAAGAAATGAAACTAAGTCCTTAATAAAAGTATGTTGGATACTTACGTGAGACGGAAACAGCGTGAGCAAATGTTAGAAAGGCAGGATCTCAAATGAATGAATGTCATTATGGACATGTTGTTACAATTTTGCTTTTACAGAAGGATAAAGGGCAAGCTTGATTTGCACCTGGAGTTTAAATGGAACTGCTTTATTATGTCCATACCCGTAGTAACCCTACAATGATCATCTGGAAAACGTGTGATATATATATATCATCATATTCGGGCACTTTGCCCAGATAAAGTTACTTTTCTGAGAAACAGGATATATTGATCTGAATTCATTTATTTCTGAATGCACAAACTGATCTGTAGCCATATAGTACTGAGTTCTATTACATGTGCTGCTCTACAAAGATCTGAATAACTAATTCTGCTAGACTTCTCTTGTAGTAGATCACAGTTCAAGCCATAGTCTTATTTTTATGTTAAAGTTTATATTTGCTATTTCTATACTGTTAAAAGTTTACATGAATTAGTAATTCATTTTGTGTATTTTCAAAGTATTCCTTTAAAGGAGTAGTAGCCCAGGCTAGATCTGTTCTAGCCGCTACCGATTCTGCCCAACATGTGGGAGTGCAACGAAGATTGAAGAAGGGGGTTACAAGAAATGTTGCTTAAAAGAAAATTGTCCCAGTCTTCATGGTGTTCACAACACATCATATCCAAGAGTTGGTGAGAATATTGTAGGATAAAATTGCTCAAAATGGCTTGTTTGTACTATTATAAACATGTAAATCAATTTCTTTTTAGTTATTTCAGTCACATGCTTTTGTCCCAGATCTTACATACTTGTCCCTTCCACATACTTACCAGAATATGTGTGTCTCAGCTCCATTTAGGATTAAGTAGTTCAGGATTCTTTTTTGCAGTAGTGTGTGACAAAGAATTGCTGTCACAATACCAGTCTTTATTGCAATGGAGTAATATCAATTAGAATTTCCAACAACATATATCAGATATTAACAATACAAAGTGTTGCATTTTACTTTTTTTCCCCCCTGTGTGTTGTTTTCTCACCTTCTACAAGCTGTCTGAGCTTGAAATAGCTCTATATCAAATTTTTGATACAAAGCTTGGTTTCCTGTCTTGCCACTGTGACTGTGCCATCTTCACTGGCTTTCACTATTCATTGTCAGTCGCAAACTGCCAGGCCTACTTCTACTCAGAATATAAGCTTGCATACACAGTCTTGTATAGCTCTTTTCGTTCATGTGTAGAAAAGGAAGTGTACTATGTTATTGACAGGGAAATAAGGAAGGAAAAAAACATGCCTTTTCTTTTCTAGGACATTTGATGACTCTTTGATCACCTTTCCTTCCCTTGTGAAGAACAGCGCAAGTTCTAGCCTACAGTGGTAGATCTGGATATTATATGTGTGTTGTATTTTGAATTTCATAGAATCAGAATCTTAGAATGGTTAGGCCTGGAAGGACCTTAAAGATGATCTAGTCCAACTCCTCTGCCATGGTCAAGGACACATCCCACTAGACTCAAAGTCCCATCCAACCTGGCCTTGAACACTTCCAGGGAGGGAGCATCCACAGCCTCCATGGGCAACCTGTGCCAGTGTCTCACCACCCTTACAGTAAAGAATTTCTTCCTAATATCTAGTCTGAATCTACCCTCTTCCAGTTTAAAACCATTAGCCCTCGTTCTGTCGCTACCTGCTCTTGTAAAAAGTGCCTCCCCAGCTTTCCTGTGGGACCCCTTCAGGAACTGGAAGACTGCAATAAGGTCCCCCCAGGGCCTTCTTTTCTCCAGACTGAACAGCCCCAGCTCTCTTAGCCAGTCCCCACAGGGTGGGTACTTCAGCCCTCTGATCATCAATTTCATGTGAGAACATAAGAGATTACATGCTCTAGATATATCTTTGTAGTAATCAAAGCAATTCTACCATATTTTTCTGTCTTATGGGCTATAATGAAGTTTGCTAAAATACTAGTGACTGTTTCTTTACAGTTTCTAGCACAAAAAACTTAGAGAAGGAATGAGATTATCTCAGAAGACTGATGAACCAGCATTTTCTACTGATGCCTTTGTCTGAAGAAAGTATACAGACAGCAACACTGCATATTCTGCATTGTGTCATGTGGCAGATACATTTGAGCAGGACAACATTTTGAAATTCTGTTTATAGTGATTGCTGAATGACAACATTTTATACAAAGAAAATACTGGTGTTCTGGGAAAAAAAAAACATTAAATATAATAGCAAGACAAAAACGACATAGAGGTAGAGGTAGATAGAAATAACTTAAAACAAACTAAATCACTGAGATATTTAAGAGCTAGATAACAATAAAAAGAGGGGGAAAGTTCATAGATTAACAGTATAGAGAAAGGCATGACAGAAGGAATGATGCCAATAGGAGAAAATATAAAGCAAGAAGGAACAAGATACATACAATGACCAGATGTGAGAAAGTAGGTGAAAGTGCAACATCTGACGAGAGCTTGATAGCAAACAGTCAACAAAGTCAAAGGTGGAAAGCTTAGTCAATATTTCCATTCTTACTAGACTATCTGGCTCTTCTTTTGTTATTTCAGTCAAAAGTGCATTCTTCAGATGTGTGTCTGGAGGAGTGATAATAAATTGGTTTAGCTGCAGAAATTATTGCTATCTGTGGGATACATGGCTAGATTAGTTTTGCTGATACTCTTAACAGATTTTGTGGTTTGGTTGCAGATAATTTATGTCCTGCATTTCAAGCCTTGACTAATAAACTGTTACTAAGCATGTATGTTAAAAACAAAATAAATATATCTTATGGGGGGGAAAAAAAGAAGGTAAATAAAATATCAACTTGCTCTGGGCATCTACATAATTCTGATTTCAATCACTTTTTTCTTATTTGTATTTACATGTATTGGTATTGAATATGCTGAAATTTATTACTGTTTTAAGTCCCTCAGATGTTGAAATATATTCCTTTCATGTACCTTATAGATCCTGTTGTGATAATGCAAGTCATCCATCCAGATGGAAGCCACTGCCTTTTAGGTAGGCAGAAGAGGTTTCCCCCAGGAATGTTTACCTGTCTTGCTGGATCTGTAGAACCTGGTGAGTAATTTTATTTTACCTTACAAAATGTTTTTTTTTTCCCTCACATATGAGCATTGTACATTGAAAATAATATAGAAATGTGTTCAGTGTTATGTCAAATAAATGTTTTTTGCTTCCTCTCAGGTAAGTTGTTATAATAAATATACCTGTTCTGTACTTCCCAGGAGCTGATTTCTAAAAAAAGCAACTTGAGTAAATATTATTTTAAATCATTTTTATCATCATGGATGACATATTTACATGAAAGAAAAAAAAACAACCCATTTTAAAATACATTTAAGGTTCTTTCTTTGGTGATGCTTAGCAGGGGATTTTAGCATAGGTAAAATAAGTTAAAGCATAACTTAAAGTTAGCATAAAGTTAAACATATGCTTCCATGTTTAGGGCCTATGGAAGTAGAAATTATATAATTTCAAAAGAAAAGCAAAAAAGATATTTTGCTGTGTTCATCAATAATAGTTGGAATTAGTTACAATTATTAGTAGCTGCAGAACAATCTGTAGAACATTCTTATATTAGGGATATATCTTAATCACCAGTGAAATTACAGTCTATAACTGTATTCAGTAACTGTGTGCAGGTGAAATATGGTGACTGCATAAATAAGTTTATAAGTATAATTTGAAAAATGTCAAGATGTTTATTTCTTCGCTCCTTTCTTCTGCCAGCCTTATTACTTTATGATACTGAATTCAAGTATATAAAATGCAACTTAAGAGTAACTGATCTTCTCATCAACTTCTAAATGGTTGTAGATGAACTAACTCAAACAGTAGAAGCTGAGCTAAAACTTCTATCTATTGTGCATGGACTGTCTAATTTAATGAACCTCTAATCAGTGGTTACAACACAATACATGTAGGCATATGTAAGCCTCTGACCATCAACTCTCCACATATACATCTGGCAGTTTTCTGTTAATATGGAAGCAAAGCTTTCCATTGCAGTTTATGTTTGGAGCATTTTCTGTATGTGTTGACACAATGAAGAAAGAGCCACACAAAGTGAATAATACAATGCAGAAATGTGTGCAAGTCTTTTTAAGTCAGTATTTTCTTATTATTATCATTTTAAATATTGATTTTCAAGTTGGATTACATGCTGCTATAATCATACTGAAAATCCAAAAATTAACATAATGCTATTTATAAATTAACAGATCAGCATTTCAAAAGTAATTAAAAGAACACTGTATTTCATACTCAATTTTTGATGTTTTAGGTGTGGTAATAATAGTTTGCATGTATGATAAATGATCAATTCAGGAAATTAATGTTATGATGGAGAAATTATCATACTTTGCTTTCAAAATTTTATTTTGCTTTGGTGGCTAGTTTTGTCTTATTAGACTTCTGTATCTTGTACTTAGGGTCTGTGCCCTGACCTGTGAACTAGACCTCTACAGATAATTGGGGCAGTTTCAAATCTTTTGAGTCCGTTCAAAGCACAGAATGTAATAATTGCTTTGAGTATTTTCATCAGCTGTTTGATCTTTGCTCTTTTTGGTTAGGTGAAACAATAAAAGATCCTGTTCAAAGAGAAGTAGAAGAGGAGGCTGGAGTCAAAGTTGGCCATGTTCAGTATGTCTCTTGTCAGCCATGGCCAATGCCCTCTATCCTAATGATTGCCTGCTTTGCTGTTGCAAAGTCTACAGAAATTGAAGTTGGAATGAAATAGAGGATGCTCACTTGTTCACTAGAGAACAGGTGAAGTTCAATTTAACTTCCTTTTTGTGTTGATTAGTCTGTGACAATATTGGTTCTGGCATATGATAGTGACTTGCCTTTTTTCAGCAAGTTAAATAAGAATGTATATTCACCATTTTATCATACTACAATTATATTGTAATTGTAGATTACACACAACCAGAGAGAGACAGATATTCATAGTAATATTGTTACACTTGAATTAAATAAATCAAATATTTTAAGAATAGTGTATGTGGATAAATAGACTTATAACGATAGAAGTAGTTATGTTAAGGCTTGATTTTAGGGCAGGCCTTGATTGGGAAACCTACCCTGGGAAACTTTGTGCTAGGAATAGAGCATAGATAAGATAGAAACAATGTTTGAAGGATTCAAAAGAGCATGTAGAACACAAGGACATAGCAGATTGTTGTTAGTGATTTGTTGCTAGTGGTAGAGCTAAAATATAACATACTAAAGGGATCGTGGTGGTGGGAGTTAAGTCGGATAAACAAACTCATAGTCTTAAGAAAGCTGAGCATGTAAGATTTATAGCCAAAGAAACTATTATCTCTATGATGAATGTAACCGTTTATAACTAAGAAATGTGTATCTCTGCACGTAGACCAAGCTGTAACAAGGTATAAAAGCTGAAGCAAAAATGGGGGTCTTTGGGATCCTGACTTTGGACGATAGTCCTCAGGTCCCCGGGCCCTGAATAAAGCACCGCATAAACTGACACTCTGTTAGTTTGTGTTCTTTGTTCTACGGGCAACAATATGAGTCACTTGCAAGCCCATTTTATAAAATTTTTGCCAGATAGCTCTTCACCTTTTCCTTTTGGGAGATACCCAATTAATGTTATTTTAACCCACTTTAGCAAGCCTATGCTTTTCACATTGCCAAGAGTAGCATTTAATAGCATTCCTCATCTGAGTTTCTTCAAATAAGCATGCTATCAGTTTTCCTGGGAGGAGGGAGGTTTAGGTAAAAACTCTAGAAATTCATTAGTTTGCACATCTTTTTCCATACAGTACTATTTTGATACTCTTGTACTGAATGTGTCTTGCTATGCATTAATAGGAAACTCTACACTTAGTTTTCCTGAGTATTTAAAACAACAATTAAACAATCTCCCAGGGGAAGTGATAAATTCCCCTACACTGGTTAGTTTTAAGAGTCAGCTTGACAGAGTGCTGACTCATTTAAACTATATATTTACTTTGAGACGCTGGACTAGATGATCCTTGTGGTCCCTTCCAACCTGGTATTCTATGATTCTATGAAAATATAGTCAAATAAAAGAAAGGAAAAAAAGACTTTCACAGGGAGGTTTGAGTTCATGAGTGCAAAAAGGGAAGATTTGTCACACAGTGTAGCCTTCACAGGTTTTCCCACAGCCTACTTACGAGTTAAACTTTTAATAACACTGTACTTCTGCCTAGCATTTGCAAGCCAACTCTGTAAATCAATCTGAAGGCTTAGTTAGTCACCTACAATCTCAATGTATTCCTGACAACACTGAGAGCATTATTTTAGGTATCTGTTCTGAATACAGCTAGTAATGTGCAGATTGATCTAGAGTTGGAAATAAATGTACTTCAGAGCTGTACTAAACTAAAAGTGCACTCCCATGTTGTTTGCAGCTGCTTCAGAAAGGCGACAAAACACATTTCCTTCTGTACTATATGAGGAAAAAAATTAAAAAAAATATATGAAACAGTGTAGAGCACCATCTGCTGGTGGTCCCTACCGCAAAGAGGCTTCACAAAAACCTTAATATATATCAACAGTCAATCTCCATAGTTGTTTTAGAAAGAAACTATCCTTTGTGGCTCAAAAATAACAGAATTCATACAGAATCCTGTGCATGTTTTTCTCTGCATCTATCTTGGATAATCTGGTAGTGGCTCTTTAATAGTTATAGTAATGATAGACTGATGGACCATCATAGTAAGATAATTTCTGTGTTAATACAATGTTAGATTTCATATAGTTCATAATTACTTTCTAAAGAAAAAAAAATACCTGTCTTTATTGCAGGTTGTGGAAGTTCTCATTAAAGGAAATCAACATTCTTTCTTTTGACTTCACCAGGTCGAGTTACTGCACACCAGTTGATAACACATTGGATTGGAATGAATGCTAATCTTTAATTCAAGTAATTTATTTCTTTAAGTTAAATTGCTTCTTCTAATGGATTCTAAATTAGGAATAAATTAGAAAAAAATTGTTTATCTCATAAAAGTGCAACCACATGAATTTTTGACCCTTTCCTTTGGTTCCTGAGCTAACTTGTCCAAACCTTTGTATGTTTTTTTCAGATCTGAGTTAGAACTGAATTACTTTTGAGGTTTAATCTGTGAAGCAGCTAAACATCACACAGCTACTCTCACTCCCCATGCTCGAGAACTGTGAGAGTAAAAGTAAAGTACTCATCTGGTTGAGATAAAGATTATTTAACAGGTAAAATAAGCCAAACGAAAATCATAATAATAACAATGAATTGTAGTAAAAATAAGAACAATTACAATAAAGCAATTGAAGTTCTACTCAGCTCACAAAAAACAGTTGCTGGCTGTACACCAATGAAAATGTGACAAGGAAAGGATAAGCCTCAGGAACTGAGGCAGGCCACCATTGTGAAGTAGAAGGTAGGAGAAGGAAGAAGAGAGAAAAGGGAATAAGGGGTCGTTCCCTGCAAAATCCCCAATTTGAGACAGTGTGATGTTTGTGGGATAGAATACATTTTTATTGGTCTGCTTGGATCATACCCAGATGATCTGTCTTGGGTCTCTTGACCCAGAAAATCCCAGGCTTTCACTTCCTCCCACATTCTCTTGTGCAAGGGGAATACAAAACAAAGCATAACACTTAAAAACACAGGTGCTGCAAAACACTGAAAACCAAACCTTGAGACAGGTAAACATTGACATGTTATCGTATCAGTTCCAATGCAAACCCAAAAAAACCCTCTAACTTCTATGAGGAAAATAACTTAATCCCAGAAAAAAAAAACAAAAAAACAATCCAGTTATTATCCCAAGCAAACAAGCAACAAATTTACTGCTTTTGTGGTTTAGTATAAAATTATTATGCCTTTTGCTGTTACACTCTTAATGTTTGATTTGTTTTTTCCTGTCCACCATTGGAAGCAGTCCCAGCATTACAGAGGCCTGACCTTGCCTGCTGTTTGAACTCTGCATTTACATACTCATATTTTGTCTTAATCATTTCTAATTTTTTCCTATTTCCATTCTTTAAATTCTGTCTGGCATAAAAATAACATTCAGTACTGAAAGTCTTATCAACAATGGTTATTTTAAAGCAGTGCTTAAATGGTGAAGATGTAGTTCTTTTTCTATTTTACATTAGCAGCCCTCCAAGTGGAGTATTTATTCCTCCAGTCTGATTTGAGCTGTTCTTAGCCAATTGTATATCAGCCTGAATTTAATGTTATAACACAATACTCAGTTTATGAAAAACGTGACAAGCTGTGACCTGTATGTTTAAAAAGAATGGTCAAGAAGCTGAGCTGCAAGACAGAGCTGGTGAAAAAGCTGCACCTGCTAAGCTGCATAATCAGCAACCAAAGAGAGTGTGGTATCCTGAAGTTAGGACAAGAGGATGTGGCACCTTGGCAAACCCAGCAAAGCCATGCAGGCAGATCAACAAGCCCAGCTCCGCATTTGTAAACCTGGGAGTCAAACAGCGAATACAGTGAGGAAAACAACTACTTGAGAGTCCCCTGAGCCCACCACTCCACCAGAGCATGCATGTGCACAAGACATTTGTGTATACATGAAATTCCTACAGTATGTTAATATTTTCTCAAGAAAGCAATTGATCATGTATAAACTGACCTGTATAAATAGAGTACTTCAGTACAGCTGAACCAGGTGTGCACCCTCCACCAACAATTGACGACGAAGGATCAACAGAACTCTTCTGGATCCATAGTGGTGACTATCCTTGCAATTCTATCCTTGCTAATTTCTATCTTACCCTTTATTACCCTGTCATATTGCTATTTGATTTTAAACAACTAAAGCTGCTTCTTGTAATGTGGTAACTGACTTCGTTTGTGTCTTAATTTTGCCCTGGGGATCTTATTAAATCATCGTGATACCGGATCATGACGGAGAACCATCCCAAAAGCCTAAATATTAGTTATTTTTATAAGATAATAATGTATTTGTTGTCAATAGACAGTTTTTTCATTTTCTGATAGTTAGAAATGGAGCTGAAGAGTAATGAGAAAAGTAGATTAATAAGACAATATCTCAAAATACGTGCAAAGTTCTATCATGGAAATTAGGACATTAAGATTGTTACTGCTATTAAGAATTTTACAGTTGGAAGAAATATATTAACTCCAGCTATAAAGCTGGGAAAGCAAGATAGGAGCTAAAGTTTTTATCTATGTAAATTTAATACTACAGTTCAGATCTGTGCCTCAGTTTATTGTGTTATTGGAAAGAATGTTAACTTAGTATTCTTTCAAAATGGAAGGTTGTAAATATATACTGGTTTTGTTATTACTGACATTATGTAATGGTTCAGTAATGCAAATGACCAGAAGGAAATAAAATCACAGTAATAAATATTCACTTATTATCATATGGTGAATTTGTATATTAAGAGTAATTTAAATATTTTTAAATCAATGAATTATGTCAGATTTGTTTCAAAATTTTGTACAAAATTGGAATCAGAAAAATGTTTTACAAATCGTAAGAGCTCTTTTTTTTAATCTAGTGTCATTCTATGCTCAGCAGCTTTTTTTTAAGGCATAAGGCAATGCATATCAAACTGGAAAGCAAAGAAGCATTTTTTATAGACTTTAAAGAGTTGACAAATCATTACATTGCTTCATTCTCTCCCTTGTTTCAGCTATACCTACAAATTAAGAAAATAAGGTTATCCATTGAGCCATCTGGCAATGAGAATGAAGCAATACACTGCTTCCCTAAAAAATTGCTTTTATGGAGTAGTGTAAATGTGAGATGCTGTCATGGACAAGGAGTAGGTGAAGAGAGAGGATAAAGCAAAGAACAAATATAGGTATTGTAAAGATCAATAATTTATCGCATTGTTGTTTAACCACAGCCAGCAACTAAACACCATGCAGATGCTTGCTCACTATCCCACAGCAGGATAGAGGAGATAATCAAAGAGTAGAAGTGAGAACACTCATGGGTTGATATAAAGGCAGTTTAGTAGGTAAAGCAAAAGCTGCTCATGCAAGCAAAACAGAACAAGGAATTCATTCACTGCTTCCCACTGGCATTGATGTTCAACCATCTCCAGAAAAGCAGGGCTCCCTCAATCTTGGGAATATAAGCACCATAACTCCCCACTTCCTTCTTCCCCCAGCTTTATATACTGAGCATGACATCATATAGTATGAAATATCCCTTTGATCAATTGGCGTCAGCTGTCCCCTCCCTGCTTCTTGTGCACCCCCAGCCTACTTGTTGGTGTGGTGGTATGAGAACTAGAAAAGGCCTTGGCTTAATGTAAGTGTTGCTTGGCAGCAACTAAAACATCTGTTTGTTATCAACATTATCCTCAGCACAAATTGAAAACATAGCCTCATACTAGCTCCCATGAAAAAATTAACCCTATCCTAGCCAAAACCAGCACACACATTGAGGTAACTAAAAATACATATATAAGACCCATCCTAATTTTAGTTTTTCACGTTGGAAATTATGATGAGTTGCTATAGAGATGGGTTTGTAACTGTAAAACTCAGAAGAAAAGATCTATAATGAATATTAAGAATCAGACTATTTTTTAATTTAAAATCCGTAAAAGTGCTTGCAGGTGAAACTCAGGGGAATAGCTAGTAAGGCTGATGTTGTGGTGTGTGTC